GAGAGAGAGAGAGAGCGAGATTTTGGGAAATGTTGAGTGAATGCGTGGGGAGTGGGGTTGTAAAAGAAGTAAATGCTAGGGTGTTTGGGAGAGGGGTGGGATTAAATTATGGGGAATCGAATACAAAATGGGAATTGACACAGTTTCTTTTTGCTGATGATACTGTGCTCATGGGAGATTCTAAAGAAAAATTGCAAAGGTTAGTGGATGAGTTTGGGAGTGTGTAAAGGTAGAAAGTTGAAAGTGAACATAGAAAAGAGTAAGGTGATGAGGGTATCAAATGATTTAGATAAAGAAAAATTGGATATCAAATTGGGGAGAAGTATGGAAGAAGTAAATGTTTTCAGATACTTGGGAGTTGACGTGTCGGCGGATGGATTTATGAAGGATGAGGTTAATCATAAAATTGAGGAGGGAAAAAAGGCGAGTGGTGCATTGAGGTACGTGTGGAAACAAAAAAAAAAAGTTATCTATGGAGGCAAAAAAGGAAATGTATGAAAGTATAGTAGTATCAACACTCTTATGAGTGTGAAGCTTGGGTTGTGAATGCAGGGTCGAGGAGGCAGTTGGAGGCAGTGATGTCCTGTCTAAGGGCAATGTGTGGTGTAAATATTATGCAGAGAATTCGGAGTGTGGAAATTATGAGAAGGTGTGGAGTTAATAAAAGTATTAGTCAGAGGGCTGAAGAGGGGTTGTTGAGGTGGTTTGGTCATTTAGAGAGAATGGATCAAAGTAGAATGACATGGAGAGCGTATAAATCTGTAGGGGAAGGAAGGTGGGGTAGGGGTCGTCCTTGAAAAGTTTGGAGGGAGGGGGTAAAGGAGGTTTTGTGGGCAAGGGGCTTGGACTTGCAGCAAGCGTGCATGAGCGTGTTAGATAGGAGTGAATGGAGACAAATGGTATTTGGGACCTGACAATCTGTTGGAGTGTGAGCAGGGTAATATTTAGTGAAGGGATTCAGAGAAACCAGTTATTTTTATATAGCCGGACTCGAGTCCTGGAAATGGGAAGTACAATGCCTGCACTCTAAAGGAGGGGTTCGGGATATTAGCAGTTTTGGAGGGATATGTTGTGTATCTTTATAGGTACATGCTTCTAAGCTGTTGTGTTCTGAGCACCTCTGCAAAAAACAGTGATTATATGTGAGTGAGGTGTAAGTGTTGAATGATGTATTTTCTTTTTGGGGATTTTTTCTTTTTTTGGGTCACCCTGCCTAGGTGGGAGATGGCCGACTTGTTAAAAAAAAAATACACACACACAATATTCAATACATCTATCGAAACAGGGAGATTGCCTGAGGCATGGAAGACAGCAAATGTGGTCCCAATCTTTAAAAAAGGAGACAGACATGAAGCACTAAACTACAGACCAGTGTCACTGACATGTATAGCATGCAAAATCATGGAAAAGATTGTCAGAAGAATGGTGGAACATCTAGAAAGGAATGATCTCATCACCAGCAGCCAACATGGTTTCAGAGACGGGAAATCCTGTGTCACAAACCTACTGGAGTTCTATGACATGGTGACAGCAGTAAGACAAGAGAGAGAGGGGTGGGTGGATTGCATTTTCTTGGACTGCAAGAAGGCGTTTGACACAGTACCACACAAGAGATTAGTGCAAAAACTGGAGGACCAAGCAGGGATAACAGGGAAGGCACTGCAATGGATCAGGGAATACTTGTCAGGAAGACAGCAGCGAGTAATGGTACGTGGCGAGGTGTCAGAGTGGGCACCTGTGACCAGCGGGGTCCCACAAGGGTCAGTCCTAGGACCAGTGCTGTTTCTGGTATTTGTGAACGACGTGACGGAAGGAATAAACTCCGAGGTGTCCCTGTTTGCAGATGACGTGAAGTTGATGAGAAGAGTTCATTCGATCGAAGACCAGGCAGAAATACAAAGGGATCTGGACAGGCTGCAGACCTGGTCCAGCAACTGGCTCCTGGAGTTCAATCCCACCAAGTGCAAAGTCATGAGGATTGGGGAAGGGCAAAGAAGACCACAGACGGAGTACAGTCTTGGGGGCCAGAGACTAGAAACATCACTCAAGGAAAAAGATCTTGGTGTGAGTATAACACCAGGCACATCTCCTGAAGCGCACATCAACCAAATAACTGCCGCAGCATATGGGCGCCTGGCAAACCTCAGAACAGCATTCCGACATCTTAATAAGGAATCGTTCAGGACCCTGTACACCGTGTACGCTAGGCCCATATTGGAGTATGCGGCACCAGTTTGGAACCCACACCTAGCCAAGCATGTAAAGAAACTAGAGAAAGTGCAAAGGTTTGCAACAAGACTGTCCAGAGTTAAGAGGTATGTCCTATGGGAGAGGTTAAGGAAATCAATCTGAACTGGAGGATGGAGAGATAGGGGGGACAGATAACGACTTACAAATACTGAGAGGAATTGACAAGGTGGACAAAGACAGGATGTTCAGAGACTGGACACAGCAACACGGGACACAGTGGAAGCTGAAGACACAGATTGAATCAAAGGGATGTTAGGAAGTATTTCTTCAGCCACAGAGTAGTCAGGAAGTGGATAGTTTGGAAGCGATGTAGTGGAGCAGGATCCATAATGCTTTAAGCAGAGGTACGAGTAAAGCTCATGGTTCAGGGAGTGGACTAGTAGCGACCGTGAAGAGGGGCACAGGACTTGGACATCGACCCACTGCAACACTCAACTAGCTGAGACACAAACACACACACACACACCACACACACACACACACACACACACACACACACACACACACACACACACACACACACACAATGCAATAAGATCACAGTAAACAGGTGATTTCAGAATATGCAAAACAACCACTGTAAAAGAATAGTGAAATTCCAAGCGCTTTTGTGACTTCTCACATTATCAAGTTACTTGATGTGAGAAGTCACGAAAGTGCATGGAATTTCACTATTCTTTCACAGTGGTTGTTTTGCATGTACAATAATATGTATCATATAGTACATTGTCTCTTTTAGGAGGCACAATGTTTATATTTTTGCAAGAACAATTTGTTATATATTTTAGTTAAACAATAAGCTTTAACCTTTGTGGAAGTTGTTAGTGTGGGTCTAATACAAATGCAGATGTTAATCTAACTATCAGTATTACAGCACAGGATATACAATACACTGAAGGCCCAAAAATACACAGCTTCTCAGGCAAAACTTGCCACGTACTTAACTCGGTTACTCGTTCATAATAAAAAAAAACAGGGTAAAATATGATAGGACAATGTATTCTTCTAATTGTATATTGAAGTTGAAAGATGACCATTAGAATAAGGACAATTGGATGAAAACAGCAGGGTTCAGGTTTTGTTTGACTTGTGTTGTTGTCGAGATTATATTGTGATAAGGTGCTTTTTAACAATAGCTTGAAGTGATTGGCAGATAAGGAAGCTTTAGAATTTTCAGGCAGGGAGTTTGATTATAGGGCCTTGTATGCGCATTGAGTTTTTACAAAGGTTATTTTGGACGTGGGGGGGGGGGATATTTAGAGATTTTTACCACTACTAAATGGTTGTAACTATAACCAAAATTTTTAAAGGGGTGGACTGGTAAGTTAGTGGAAGGTCTGTCAGATGACCAGAAGCTCCAATGGTGGGTCATCATCTAAGACCCATGTCAGGAACCTCTTGTCCAGGTTTCCTGACGAACCTTATCTAACCTAGAGATTTTTTGGTTTTGTTATGTCAGTTCTACTGCATCTATGAAGGAAGAGTTTCAGAGCAGGGATTTTATTAGAATTGATTGTCCTATGTATACATATAGTAAGCACAGTAGTAAGAGTGAATATTATGTATATTGAGTAAATTTAAACTTTTTGAGGAGTTGTGGTGTGTGTTGTCTGGCCCTGGATTAGGTAATTGTTCATATATCTACTTTTTGTCGAGTTATTGTTTTTAGGTGATTTGTCATAGCAGATCCCCAGCCCCAACAAATACCCTAGGTGAGGTAAGAATAGATTAGAAATTAATACAGTGTAAGTACTATTACTGTTTAAGGTACTTAGTAATGTTTCTTAGGATGCCTACTGATTTGGTGACTTAATTAATGGTGGAGACTGTGGTGTCCCGTAGCTCGGTTGCTATTGCACTGCTCACACATTGAGGTCTGTGACTCGATCCCCGGTATAGTTGGAAACATTAGGACACGTTTCCTTAAGACACCAGCTGCCCCTGTTCACCTAGCAGTAAATAGGTACCTGGGTGTTAGCCGACTGGTGTGAGTCGCATCGCGGGAACAAATTTAACCTGATTTACCCAAATGCTCTGGATTACAAGGGGCTTTCTAATAGTATGTCATTGGTGTCAGCTAGGTCTGTGTACGTTGTACATATACTTGTAGAAATAAAAGATTAATCATAATAAGACAAAAGTACCAAAATTGGAGTGGCATAAACATATTTTGAAGATTAATACATATAACACTTCTCTGGCCTTGGCCAAGTTTGCTTTAAATGCTTTCATTGTTAGATCTGGGATTAATAATCACAGATCTTTATTTCTCTCGTTTTGAAGGATATGACCAGTAGAAAAGTATCCGATTGAAGTATTGCAGTACCTTGTACTGACGTATTTTTCATGCTGATTATGGTGTAGCCCACAGATGGCAGGAAGCTTGATATGTTTGTTGCATGAAATGAGTGTGTGGTGCATGAAGCTGTGGTTTTTGCTGCGAGGACAAGTTGAAGGCCCAAGGACAGTGCATTGACACTAAGCTGTGATCTGTTTTTGGGCTGTAAGGATGAGAATGAATACATTAAGTGCAAGGACAATCGGTACATTGTTGAACTGCTTTTTAATATAAAAAACCGACTTTATTTTTTTTTTACCCTTGCAGGTTTTACTCTTCCCCAAGATTATAATACATACTCTTGTTCTAATTTTTTGGTGGTGTATTACTCAAATATTTGACATAAAATTGCTTTGCTAATAAATAGCTTAGGAAATGTTGTTTACTATACTATAACATTTCTTGCTTGCAGGCTGTGATGGCTGGAGATTATATCCTGTCTGTTGCCTCAACTATGTTGGCCAGGATACGTAACGAGGAGGCTATAGTCATGCTCTCTCAGGTCAGTGGTCTCTCCTGTTCAATCTTAAATTATCAATAGCTTCCCTAGAAAAATATTCATTCTAGGGTCAGTAATGCTCCCTAAAATAATGCATCCACTAAGATATAAAGGGCAATATCATTCACCTCATGTCTACTATGTGCTTGAGATTGGTAGTACGTACAGTAATTAATAACTTTTCAAGCATGATATTAACTTTTAAATTAGTGTTAGTCATTTCTCCCATGCAATTCCCCACTTCACTGATTAAGAAGCTAACAACAATGTTGCAGGTACTCAGTGATTTAGTGCAAGGAGAATTTATGCAACTTGGATCAAAAGAAAATGAAAATGAAAGATTTGCACACTACCTCAAGAAAACTTTCAAGAAAACTGCATCATTGCTAGCCTACAGTTGCAAAGCTGTGAGTATGCACATTAGACATTTTGCAATAGTGAACCACAAAGACTTTAAAGTACCTTATTGAAAATGCACATGCCGTTTTCATTGTAGGTTTCAATGATCCATACAAATTTAATGCCACTGTCATATCAAATGGCTACTTCATCTTGAGTGATGCCATATTATGGTCTATTGTTAGTTCTCTGTAATAGTGGTTTTCTATCATTTTAATATTAGAAAATTATCAATATGAATATAATAACATTTTCATTAAGAAGGCAATACGTATTTATCTAAAATTTGTCAATTTAAAAACAATAAGATTTATATAATGTATGAAGAAGTTTGGATGGTGATCATTTTAATTTAACTCTCGACTATTTTTGTGGTACAGTATACTCAATTGTTGGAAAATCCTAGCAGAAAGAACTCTTAATGTATAGGGCAGTAATAATTATGTGGAATTGAAGAATAAGCAAAACTGTGTAAAATAGTGTTCGACTTTGAGAAATGAAGATTTAAGTATGAAAGCTCGTTTGAAAAGTACTGCACCATAACAAATATGTAGATACATTGATGTTAGGGTGCAGTAGTGTGTCATCCTTCATTATTGGTAAATATAGCTTACTAGATAGAAGAGGGTTGATAGGTTTGGCAAACTTTTTTTTTTCTAATGCTTAAGTAGTTAAATTAGGTAAAGAATTTGCAGCATTGAAAGTAGCTTACTACTGTGATATTAATTTCCAGGTGGCACTTCTATCTGGTGGTGATGAAAATGTACAGGAAGTTGCCTTTCAGTATGGACGTAATGTTGGGATAGCCTTCCAACTTGTTGATGATCTTTTAGACTTTGTCTCTTCCTCAAATATGATGGGGAAGCCAACAGCTACAGATCTGAAACTAGGTCTAGCTACAGCACCTGTTCTATTTGCATGTGAAAAGGTAATGATTGTTTTGTAGTAATTTTGGATAACAAATTTTCAAGTTACTTTAGGTTTTTAAATATTACATTCATGGGAACACTAACCTTTTGAGGTCATACAATGGTTGGGGGAATGGGAATAGCACTCAGGTTTGATTCATGGAAGGGGAGGATAGGTCTAATTCCTTGAATCCAGAGCCTGTCACTGACAGCCAGTTGCCTTCCTTGAGGGTTAGAATTTTTTTTTTAAACACATACATGGAAGAATAGTATCAGATAGCAGTTTACTACTGTATTTAAATCTGTTTGAAATTTATTAACCTCATGTTTTCTCAGTTTCCAGAACTTAATCCTATGATTATGCGGAGATTTCAAGAACCAGGCGATGTACATAAAGCCTTTGAATTTGTGCACAAGAGTGATGGGCTAGAACAAACACAGTTCTTGGCTCGTCAACATTGTGAGGAGGCTATAAGAGTCATCAGCTCCCTGAAACCGTCTAGTGAACAGAAAGCTCTCATCACGTTAACAGACAAAGTGCTGAACCGCATGAAATAGTATTTTCCTGCCTAAAGAACCTTTTGTTGCTGGCCTACAGTACACAAAGTGGCAACTACGGGCTCAGGATTTAAAGAGTATTGACTATCTCGAAAAATATGCAGCTAGTAAAAGCTTATACTATACTGTACCGGACATTCAGCCCCCCATTATCAATCCCGAGCTGTGGCTTTAGAAAGTGAATGCATTTCTAGGAATGTAGTGACAAGTACTTGGCTGAAAAGATCATTTGCATCAATAGGTCACAGAATATCGAAGATATCAATTGGGTTCTGTAATTATGCAGAAGAAGAAAAATATTTAATTGTAAAAGTCAGTGGAATAAAAGAAATATCAGGTCAGTCTTTTCACATTACTCTGAAAAAGCAAAAATACAATTAAAATTCATACTTAGTGACCTAAATTAAAATGACATTTTAATATGTTATTCCATGATAACTGTGGTAGGGAAACATGACTCACAAAATCGTAATGACACAATTGTAAACAAACCATACCATGGGCGGGGATAGAGCGCGACGGTCTGGAGTTTTGAGACTCTGATCGTGGGTTCTATACCTGCCCGTGGTATGGAAAATCACTACCAATAATTAATATCCTAATTATAGTAAGTCTGATGCTCAGCCACTTCAAATTACAGTATTATTTTTGCATTTCAGGCATGGACAAATGTGACCTATTGTGCTACAAATAACCATTAATTTTGTAAGTAAAATTTTTTGTACACATTGGAAGAACCTTGTACATCACGAGTATTTTACTGCATAATCCAATAGGGCTAAGAGTATACAGGGATCTGAAGCTCCTGTTCTTTCGAGGGGCTCGTCCAGTGCCCTGTTACTGTACCTCCACTGTGGGTTATTTGCCTGCTTGCCCTTGTCTCGATAAATATTTTGTAATTGTGATAGAGCAAGGTGTAAATATTTTGTATTTTATAATCGTGAATCTTTATGAACAGTTTTAAACTGTTTTATATATAGGCATTGTATGCAGCATTATTGAAAATTGTGTGGTTGGGCGGTGGGTGAGTAAAGAGCATCCGTGCCTTAATATCAGGAGGCATTGTTGCTACTATTTTAATAATGGCCTCTTACACAGCCATTTTCTGAAAAGCTGGCATTTTCTTGACCTCTTCATTAAAATATCAAGATCAGTGGACCCTCGAATTTCATCAACCCTTTTTTGTTAATATTTTTGTGGTGTCTGGACTGGATTAATTGGATTTACATTATTTCTTATGGGAAACATTAACAAAAAATACATTTTATAGAGAATAACACTAGTTTTACATGCAGAAAAGGGATGATGAAATTCAAGGGTCCACTGTACATGTACTGTATGTGGAATTTGACGTGTGGCTTACTTGCTTTGAACCATTGTTGGCAGGATATCGTTGCTTTATTTTAATAAATTTGTTCAGATATTAAATGACTGTTATGTAGCTTCTGGTTTATATATGAAGTACACTATTATTGTACAGCCTTGGAAGTTGTTTTTCCTGACAGAATTTCATGCGAGAGAGTACAGTACTGTATACAGTTCTGATAGATATTTATGCAACATAGGTAAATTATTTCAAATTACCTAATATAAAAAACTACTATAAAAATTTTTAATTTAATTAGCCTTAAATGCAAAGAAAGCCTATGGATGTAGATCCTTGCCAAATATCTTCATCTGCCATTTGACTTTATATACTGTACTGTATGCTCAGTTTAGTTGACTACATAATATGTTTACTACAACGATTAATTTACATTCAGTAGCTTTTCAGCACATGTTGTCAAACTATTCTTTAAAGTTTTGTAAACTGCAGTTTTTCACTACCAGTTGCAAAGCAAGTTTACGAAGTTTTCATTTTAGTATTTTTCCTCATTCAGTACTTGGGGCTAATTTTCATTGGTTATTCTATACAGGTTGAATTGCAGTATATGCCTTTCTGAAGCAGTGTTCATCAAAACCTGGTTAAATTTTGGGTTCTTTCTCTAGTGTATAGTTTTATTTGGCAGTTTTTTTTTTCTAGGAATAGTTCATATAAAACTCATTAAATTTTATAGTTTGTTAGGGTTTACATAATATGACAACTACTAAATGTCGAAGTATCTAAGCTTACGATGTCAAATGAAGACTTGTTCTTATAGTTTTTCATAACTTAAGAAGGCAAATGGTTTTTAGCTTGAAATGAAGAGTTCAAGTATGATTAGTTTCCTGCAGTAGACATGTCAGCTGCTGTCTTCCATTGCTCAAAATATGATGACTTGTGGCAGTGCTCAGCCTGTGTATGATGTCCTTAGTGGTTGTATATATTTTGTTTTCTGCTAGATAAACAGATTATTTTGCTAAAAGTACAACCAGTGTACAGTAATTCATTTCTTTCACAGCACCTTAATGTTCTCAAGACTATATATTTACATTACATGTGGGCTGTGCATTGCCTTGTGGGCTGTGCATTGCCTTGAATCATTACTTCAGTCCATGCCACCACCCCATCCCATGCCTCACCACACTGTTGTTTTGGTACTTTCAAAAATTGTTGCCAGACATTTAAAAAACATTGTATGCTCACAAGCACATGCACAAATGCAGACTCATGGGATAAAGCTCAACCCCACCAGCTCAGATAAGATATTACAGTATTCACACTAATCTGCACCAATGAATGAACTAGCTCTGGTGGCCTGGTGGTTAACGCTCTCGCTTCACACGGTGAGGGCCTGGGTTCGATTCCCAGCCAGAGTAGAAACATTGGACGTGTTTCTTTCCACCTGTTGTCTATGTTCCCCATCAGTAAAATGGGTACCTGGGTGTTAGTCGACTGGTGTGGGTCGCATCCTGGGACACTGACCTAAAGAGGCCTGGTCACAGACCGGGCCGCAGGGGCGTTGACCCCCGGAACTCTCTCCAGATAAACTCCAGTGTTGTTAGAGACCGGAGTTGTTAGTAATTCAGGTCTTTTTCCCATCCCCCTTCTTAAAATCAGCCTTTTCATCATCCTTATAAATATAGTATCCACGCTGAATTTATACATATGTGATGTGTTGTAGCATTCCAGATGACAGTTTGGCAATAATTTTTTATGGTACCATAATTGTTTTTAAAGAGTTTTATTTTCTTAGAATTGACTTCATAATAAAAAATGATAATGTAATCAAGTTAAGTGCATTTGACTTGATAGAGGTTGTGGGACTAGTGTATACTTTGCTTAGCACAAAACTTAGGCTGGTCAGTTGGTTTCTGCAAAAAAAAAAAAAATTAAATAAATAAATTGAAGACCCTCCCAATGACTGAAAAGACTGCCAGTGTTTGTCGCATGCCACTATTTTCTGAGTGAGCAGAGCTTATACAAACTATAAACATTTACTTTGGAATTAAAATTTTCCTTTATCCACGTCGAAGACTGTAAAATGTATCTCGAGTGTGCCGTTGGAGATAAAATATAGAACTAAGTAACTCGCATTTTAAAATACTTGAAAACAAATGCAATTTTATTCCTGTTTTAGGATCTCCTCAGTACAGCACGTTTATCTCTGATGAGGATCTCGGAGTAGGAATAAAAAAAAAAAAAAATTCTTGATTACATTCAAAATGTGGGTTGTTAGAGAATACCATTAGTGCTTTCATGAAGTTTTTATATAAAGCATTTTATATATTGCACATGATCTTTTTTTTATTGTATATGATTTAAAGGCATTGTACTTTATTTTCTTTTCTGGTACTGAGAGCTGTTAAGTATGTAAATATTTACTATTGTTTTATTGCAAAAAGATTTGAATTGAAATTGGCACAAGCAGAAGTTACAGTGCAGAGATCAAGTGGCGTTTTTTTTTTTTTTTTTTTTTTTTTTTTTTTTTTTTTTTAGATGAACCATCCTTTTTACCAGGAATTCTGTGCATTACTGTTAATACATTTAATAAGGGAGAAGGGATGTGGGATGCTAAATCAGTAGGGGCCATTCAGTGCCAGGTGAAATGTGGATAGTCAGGTTTGATCACTGAAAGGAAGGATAGATTCCGATTCTTTGGATAAAGAGCCAGCATAGAGGCACTTCCATGAAGGAAGATAGTCCACTTGGTGTGGTTACTTTTAAGTGTATCAGTCATTAAAATTTGTATTAAAAAATTACTCTTGTAGACACTGTACTGTACATTGCCAATGTTTCACTGTTGTGGAGCCTTCATGGCAGATAATGGCTGTGAAATATTTGGTTAAAGTGACAGTTTAGCTTGCAACACGTGTAACTTCTATTGAGACTTGTAGTTTTCTTCAAGGCGAGGTGCCTTGATGCTGGTGAAGGATGGTGTCCTGGGAATTTATTACCGTCTTCTTGAATCATTACATTATTGAATGTGGTATACCTGTAATGATCGTACAATGCTTAGGAGGTATTCAGGTTTGATCCAATTAAAATTATTATAATAAAAAAGAAGCGCTAAGCCACAAGGGCTATACAGCGCTGCGATCCAATTAAAAGCAGGTCCATTTCTTTGGATTAAGTCCTTCACTGGCATCCAGGAACCTTCCTTAAGGTTGGATCACACTTGATTGCCTCCCATTCTTCTTTTTCAGGTGATGTATGACTTTCCATAAACAAAATGTGTAACAAGATTAATTAGGAAAGCCGTTATTTGAACTAAGACATATTTTTATTGTAATACTAAACCTGTAAGGGGGGGAGGGGTCATACAGTACCTGGGAAAAGGAGGCACTCAGGTTCAATCCAAGGAAGGGAATTATTATAATAAAAAAGCACTAAACCTACAAGGGTCATACAGTACTGACCAAGGAAGGGAAACATGTCCAGTTCCTGGGATGGAGCCCCCCCCCCCCACTGCCAACATAAAGGAACCTCGCTCAAGTTGATCTCGATGAAAAGCTTGGAATCCCTACGAACCATTGTGAAATTGTCATGTATACTTAAATCTGTATGAGTTGTATTGGTTTAATAATGTAATAGTCAAGCACTATACAAGTAGGGGGGGGTGTCTGTATAGGTATAGTTTATATATATATATATAAAAATTAAAATATATAAACTATTATATAGTGTGTGTGTAACTGCAGGTATAGGTATACATACAGACTGTGCACTATACATGTGTATGCTTTTAAAGATGTAATGCTGCTCTATTATGTATATTTTTTTTATTTGATATTTTGAGTATAGTATTGACATAATAAAAATTTTTATTTTTTTTTCCATGGAGCTTCATAAACCTAGTAAATTTTGAATATTGGTAGCTGATCTGTGGGAAA